CTAGTTTAGGTAGGAATGGCAATGCAGTGCATAAATGTTATGGCCTGAGTATGTGTTCTCAAAGTATATGAAAAGTTTGACCCCATATTCAGTAATGTTGGAGGTGAGGTCTTTTTGGATGTGTTTAGGTAATAAGGGTGGAGTTGCACTCTTATAAAAGAATTGATGCGAAGTGAGTTCTCTCTCCTTTCTACTCTTATTTTGTGTCAGAACACAGTAAAAAAGTCCACACGATAGTCTAGGACCCAAATGCTCCTGGACTTCTTAGACTCCTGAACTGCAGAACGACAAGATAAAACAAAACCCAGTTTCTATACACTATAAATTTGCCTGTGATTCCCTGCTAAGGTAGCATAGAATGGACTATGTTAACAAAATAGGCCATTAAAAGATGATTTAAACAAATATTTTATCAGAAAATTATTTTTCAAAAGTCACCAGGCTTTGAGAGCTCTACTTCCTTTGTATTTATGTATTTATGAGTAGTTTGGAGTTCCTGCACAAGAGGCAACTGATGGAAAATTATGAATACTTTACATTGCAAGGGTGAGCATTTAAAAAATTGTTAGACTTTAAATAATTTAATTTCCTTAGATAGTTTTCCTTTTTTACTGACATTTGAAACAAGGTTGTTTTACATGTCAATTCCAGTTCCCTCACCCTCCCATCCTCCCATATCACTCCCACCAATCCTCAACCCATCCCCTTTCTGTTCCCCAGGGAGGATGAGGCCTTCCATGGGCAGTCTTCAAAGTCTGTCATATCATTTGGAGCAGGGCCTAGGCCCCCCCCCCCATATGTCGAGGCTGAGAAAGTAACCCTCTATGTGGGATGGGCTCCCAAAGTCCATTCATATACTAGAGATAAATACTGATCCACTACCAGAGGCTCCATAGACTGCCCAGTCCTCCTAACTAACACCCACATTCAGGGGGTCTGGGTGGGTCCTATGCTGGTTTTCCAGCTATCAGGTTGGAGTCCATGAGCTCCCCCTTGTTCAGGCCTGCTGATTCTGTGGGTTTCTCCAGCAAACTTTTACAAGTAGTGATCCTGAGTCTTGGTGTTTCCTTTTCTTTTTGAATAGGATCTCACTGTCTAGCCCAGATCTCTGTGGAGTCAGGCTGGAGCCTGGAACATGAAACCATCCAGGACTGTCCACTTCCTGGGTGGTGCATTAGAGGCAGGGACCAGTGTACCAGGCTCATCCCATATTTTCATGAGACCCAGAGTTCTGGTGATGGTGATGATGTAATGCTTACTTTCTGTGGCTTTTTCTGTTGCTAATTCCAGAACACAAAGGGAGCCACATTTCCGTTGCTTCCCTGTGAGCAGCACTGTCCAGGCAGTCTTTGCAACCTTTGCTCCACATCCACATCAGTCAGAAAGGAAACTGGAGCTGCTGAGTTTTTTTCCCTCCTCAGTTTTGCTCATCGTCTTTTAATGCTTTGCTGTCTTTCTACTTTTATCTGAATTTTACAGCAAGATCAGTGGAGATGGCTGGCTGGAGGGGTTTTCTGTTCTCATCTCTCTTACATAACGAACCCTGGATGTTTGTATTAGGATATTAGGATGCTCGGATACTGACAAGGAAGTACAAACCTTTCATCCATTGCTTGTGTACCAGCTCTCCCTTGACATATGCATCCCCATCCTTTATTTCTCCACATTTTGTTGTCCAATTTCTCTGCCAAATTCTCTGATTTTCCATCATCAAATCATAAGAAAATTCTGACTTCTTCCAAAGGATAACTCTCTTATCTGTGTGATTACTTCTGGGTAGCTCATATAAACTTACACCTGCTTGATGTAATAGAGTTTACATCTTCATTCCCCTACCTGCAAGTTCTTTCCACTATTCCCCTTTGAGTTTTGGTTCTCTCATGTGTTCCCCCCTCACAGAATACATTGATACTATGAAACTGAAGTCTTTCACCAATGATTCCTGTGACCAGTAAGTAAAAGTTGTTTTTCTATAGTCATGCTAACTAGTATTTACTATAAATATTCATTTTATTAGAACTAAAAGATGCAATTTATGCAAAGAATCTCACTGTTAATATGCTCTTTGTAAATATTTTCTATTACTAGAAATGCTTGGGTTACTATTATTACTTTTGTTCATTTACATTTAAGCTAACATGTTATTCTTTTTCTATATTGAACTTGTGACATTAAAGAGACAAGAAGAGATTATGATGAGAAGAGATTGGATGGTAGAGTTGGGCAATTTTTCTAGCCATTGGTGTTTACTATTTTCACACCAATAATTAATTAAAAAATGACCCATAGATATTTTCACATGCCAATCTGATGGTGGTACTATCTCATTTGAGCTTCTCTCTCCTAGGGCATGGCAAAGTTGACTACTGTAGCTAACTTTGTCACCAAATAATAGCATGGATGACAATGTTCTTCAAAGATGTCTTCTGCTTACATCCTGCAACTTTCCTTTCTTGTTGGTATACTTTTTAGCTAGCTCTGCTCCTCCTCCATTCCACCTACTCCCTCTGTCTCTCGTTGAAATGCACACACAAATACACACAGAGAACATACTCCTTTTGTTGATGTGACTAGTATGAGTTGTGTCATGCTCTCTCCAAGATGATCTATTGAGTCCTAATGTCTAACTTAGAGTGTGATTTTATTTGGAGACTGGGTCTTTTTAGAGGCGATCAAGTCAAAATGAGACCATTATTGTGGGTCTCTTAGTAGTGTAGTTGTTGTCTTCACTAAAAAAAAAAAAAAAAAAAAAAAAAAAAAAAGGAGAATTTGGGTACAGAGACAACATGCGCACAGGAAGAGAGGAATGTGAGGAGATGCAGGGAGAAGACAGCCATCTTCAAGCTGAGAGCTGACCGGATCACATACTCTATCCTCAGGGCCTGCAGAAGGACCAATCCTGAATTCTGCACCTGAGGGACAATATGTTTCTTCTGGGTAATCCCTGAAGTCTATAATGCTTAATTGTGTTAGGATGTGGCTGAGGAGTGCATTGCTTCTTGCTTGGTTGTTTCAGACAAAGGAAGCTGAAGCTGTACTTTTGGAGCATTCTGTCCCCGGGATTAACTTTTAAAACTTGTTTTGTTTTATATAACCGTGATGTGGTGACTGGAGACCTACATTTGAGTGAAGAAAGTAGAGAAGACACGGGGAAACTAGGTCCACTGTCACCTGTAAGCAGACCCCCTCCTGCCAGCTGTCATTAAGGGAAAGATGCAATTGGCTTTAGATCCTCTCTCACTTGTTGGGAGGGGTGGGGCAGTGGGGTGACCGGGTGTGGAGAGCGCTGTCTTAAGAGTGCAGGCAGAAGCTCCAGAGAGGGCCAGGATGGAGCTGTTCATCCTAGATTCCCCAGACCCACCCACCCACTCTGTAGCTGTGTGCTCAGGCGAGTGGTGCTGAAGGAACAGCTCTAGCAGAGGCTGCTTTCGGGCGGGGGTGGGGGGAGGACCAAATCTGTGGATCCAAATCTAAGCTGGTCGTCTTCACTTTCAACTGGGTGATCTCCCTCCTCCCCCTCCCCCCGACCGTCCTCCGGTTAACCTCTTCTCCAGGCACAGCCAGCTGGGCTGAAGGTCTGTGGCGGCAGGGTCGGGCTGCGCCAGCTGGACCCGCCCCGAGCTCCATGGTTCGCCCAGCCCCACGCGATGGTGACTCTGGGCGCGGAGGGTGGCTATGGCAGAGCCCGCAGATCGCAGCAGCGTGAAGGCGGGGAGCGCAGCGGGCGGCGGGCGGGGACTTTCTCCTCAACCTCAGCACCCAGAGAAGCGGCTCAACCACCTGAACCCCGAAAACACCAACAAGTAGTTTCTCCTCTGAGAAGGGCGGCTCAGCTGGCTGCAGAGACTCTGTCCGGCTGCAGGGAAAACCTCGTCCACTCGGAGACCCAAGAAGATACACTTTTCTCCCTGTCTCCTTAAGGTATCCAGGGGACGAGGAGTGGGAGAAAGGAAGGGCGGTGCAGGCGGGCATGCCCCCTGCCTAGCTGCAAGAATGTGGGTGCGAAGCCCTAGGGAGAGACTGGAAACAGCTGGTCTTTCAGCTCAGGGAGCCAGGGGGTGTGCCTCCTGCGGCTTCTCCCGGGCTTCACCCCTCCTCAAAAGCAACCCTCCCCCTTCCAGGCTCTCTACCCCAAGATGTTTGTTTTTCTGGGGAGGGGGAGGGGTGGGATAGCTTGCTCACTTTTGTCCTCAAAGATGCATCCTAGTTAGTGGTTTCCTTTCCCAAGTACTAATAACATTAGCAACAACGATAACAGTAATGTGAAAAGGAAATTGGATGAGGAAATTAGTCAGAGGTCTCCTTGGTGAAAGGCAGCAGGCAGCAGGCAGCAGGGACGTGTGTTGTTGTTGTTGTTGTGACTTCTGTCTTCAGTTTTTCTGCCTGGTAGGTGAGGTGTGGGGGTGGGTGGATGGGTGGGGGGACTGAACAGAGAACAGAGGGGGCAGAGGGTTACTCCTGGAGCGCTGAAGATCAGAGAGCTGTCCAGGGTTGGCCAAGGGTACGCAGGCTGCTGGGGCACCCGAGGGCCCCCGCTGCTCAGCGCTGCTAAGTTGCCTTAAGGAGCATAACTCCCTGATGGGGAATTACACTAAGACCAGGGTAGGGGCCGAGAGAGATTTGGGGTAGTGGGGAAGGGGGCCCATCTAAGGAAAGGAAGAGCCCAGAGCAAAGAAAAAGGGCTGGGGAGTGAGCCCCGGAGGGTTCGGGAAAGCAAAGAGGGTCTTGGGGACTCAAAGCAGACTGAGTTTGACAGGGAGGGAGGAGAAACGGGGTGGAGGGCAAAAGGGAAGGGGAGGACTGTGTGCCGCAAGAGAAAAGATTTCCTGGAAGGTCAAGGAACACTCAACTGTTTCTTCTTTGGGAACCTGGGCCAGGCATGATGCAAGAGGCAGGGACAGCACTGGACACCGAGCTCCTCCTGGGAGGGTCCTTCCCACTTGCCAGCTAGGCGTCTTGGCACTCTTGGGTTGAGGCGGGGTTGGTGTGTGTGTGGGGGGGTCATGGTGAGTATATGACCCACGGGAGCTTTAACTTGGTGCTGTGTTCGCCTTCCCTAGTCATGTCTGAGCCACAGAGATGGGCAAGATCGAGAACAACGAGAGGGTGATCCTCAATGTCGGCGGCACCCGGCACGAAACCTACCGCAGCACTCTTAAGACCCTTCCTGGAACTCGCCTGGCCCTCCTCGCCTCCTCTGAACCCCAGGGCGACTGCCTGACCGCCACCGCCGCGGGTGACAAGCTGCAGTCGCTGCCCCCTCCGCTCTCCCCGCCGCCGCGACCGCCTCCCTTGTCCCCTGTCCCCAGCAGCTGCTTTGAGGGCGTCGCGGGCAACTGCAGTTCCCAGGGTGGCAACGGCAGCGACCACCCTGGCGGAGGCCGAGAATTCTTCTTCGACCGCCACCCGGGTGTCTTCGCCTATGTGCTCAACTACTACCGCACGGGGAAGCTGCACTGCCCCGCCGACGTGTGCGGGCCGCTCTTCGAGGAGGAGCTGGCCTTCTGGGGCATCGACGAGACCGACGTGGAGCCCTGCTGCTGGATGACCTACAGGCAGCACCGTGACGCGGAGGAGGCGCTGGACATCTTCGAGACGCCCGACCTCATCGGGGGCGACCCTGGTGACGATGAGGACCTAGCCGCCAAGAGGCTGGGCATCGAGGATGCTGCGGGGCTGGGAGGACCCGATGGCAAGTCTGGCCGCTGGAGGAGGCTGCAGCCCCGCATGTGGGCCCTCTTTGAGGACCCCTACTCATCCAGAGCCGCCAGGGTAAGACCCGAATCTAGCACGGTACCCCGTGGCCGCAACTCTCTCAACTCTCCTTCAAACTTGGGTTCTTTCTTCCAACAGCCCCTGAGATGAAGAGGAAGACGGGAGAGCTCAGTAGAGATGGTTTTCAAGGGGCATCATGTGGGGTAGGGAAAGCCCAGAGACCCTGTCCCATCATTCCGCCCTCCATGACAGTCACTCCACCGACCTCCCACTCAGACAGATTTACTTTAGCAGGTGGGGCCCGTGTGAGAGTCCCCGGCTGTATCCTGATACCATTGCTGTGTTCACCTCAGTTCTTGCCTTAACTTTTCGTGTTCTAACTTTTTCCTGTAGCTAGAATGTGTTTCGGAGCCTGTTGCCCAGCTTGACTCACCGTGGCAGTAGACACAGTAAGGATCGAATCTGAGGACACACAGAGTGGGGTGGGGTGGGCCTGTCTGTGTTACTGTGAGGAGGTTGCTTGTGTCCTTTCTTCCCAAGACCATGGTGTTGCAATTGCTGTTCCCAATGAGTCTGCCTGCATCGGGGTTGATTCTCCAACTGCGTACCCTTCTTCTTAGGTGTATCAATGCTCCTTTCAGGTTGACCTTGAATCCATAACCTCCTTGACCTGTCTTCTACAACTGAGTAGCTCTGGTTGTTGTAAACTTTTCCTGACTTTTTATATTTATTATACTCTAAGCATCAATGTTTCTTTTTGGTTTCTCATTTAAGCGAGTGATTAAATTTACTACTTCCCAGAATCCCATGAAGTGATTAGTGACATCACCAATGATGGTGTCTCCAGTTTAAAAAAAAAATAATACAGTATATGAATTTGTCTTAATTATGTATGAGGACAGAGCACTGAATTTAGTCAATCTTTGCAACTGCATATGTGTTGTTTTTGCTACCCAGAAAAGACCCTCAACCCTGAAGGATGGTAATTCTTCCTGCCCAAGTTTGGCTCCATCTTCTTGGCCAATTTTCTTTGCACAAAAGAAATCCCTTCATCTTAGCTATTATACTGCTATCTGCCCACTAACTTCCAGGGAGATATGCTTCTGACACTACCTCAGAAGTGTACACATCTGTTTTGTTTTCAGGCAGAATCAGAACACAAAGGAGTCAATGTAAAATAGTGATGATCTCTTGGGCCTTTGAAACCATGCATAACTTTTAGCACAGCCCTACACCCCTGTATTCAAATATGGAATTACCAATGTTAATCCTAAAATTTTGCTTTTAGAATTATCCCATAATTGCAAAAAAGAAGAGTTTATGTTTTAAAGGTGATTATTGATAGATGTGCATGGTGTATATACCTTTAATTCGAGTACCTGGGAGACAGAGGTAGGCAGTTCAATGAGATCAGGACAAACCTGGTCTACAGAGTTAGTCCCAGGACAGCCAGGGCTACACAGAGAAGCCATGTTTTGAAAAAAAAAAGTACTTATTGATAATAAATAAAATCACAGACTCATGAACGTTACTTTGTGTTGTTTTGGTTTTCAGCTGAGTGCTACTGTGTTCTTCCTCCTGGGTGGTTAAAGAGAAAATTTGATTTTGTTTTCAGGCTCATCTCAGTCTGTGTATGATAAAATGGATGAATGCGTTATCATCTTTCTTCCTGATAACGCAGCATGATATCTTCGGCTTATTTTGTATTTTATTGTAAGCCAGATCCTATAACTAAAAGTTTAACAAGGTGCCCAACTTTTATTGTCACTATGAAATTTGATTCTATTAATCATTAGCTAAAGGGTAGTTCATTGACTTGACAGACACTGAGAATCTTACTTAGATTTTGTTGTAATTATATGGAGGATTTGGCTTGCATGTGTAAATGAAGAAAGAATAAAGAGATTGACGCAAGGTCAGGAGCAGGTAAGAACATCAGCTGACAGTCACTGTCCTAAAATCTGTTATAGAAGTCACCTAGAAAAGACCTTTTCCATTCCAAATGAGATGAGAAAAAAAATGAAGACTCAGATGTTAAGAAATGGCCAAGGTCATATGTCGAATTGTTAGCTGAACCAAAATTACTCTAGTGGTGTTATGACATCAACCTAGCCCCTTTCCACAAAATCCTTTGATTGTAACTGACTCGACTGTGGCATTTCTGCATGTCCTATTGCTCTTGTGATCCAATGCTGTCTAAGATGTAATTAGGCTTCCGGTCTGGAGAGATCTTTTTTTTTTTTTTTTTTTTTTTTGACATTTTTAAAATACATACATTTTAGGGCTTTGGCTGCCATAAGTTTTACAAGGCACCAGTCGATAACAGAATAAAAGTATGTGAGACCTTCACTTCTTTTATGAACCCCGATGCAACATTCTGATTATTGTTGGCCAGTCAATGTCTGATGTGTTGCTTTTTTGTGGAGACTTTGAGTTCAGGAACGCCCCTTCTCAGATCACTAAGGGTTACCTAAATTAGAAGGCATAGATTAATTAATTTGTAAGTGAATTAATATGAGCTCCAATTATGGCCTGAGCTAATAATATCAAACTATTTCTTCGTGTAGCATACTACTGAGCAGACAGCAGGATAAAACTATACTCAAGTGCTGTGATTCTAGGAAACTTAAATCAGTTATCAAGTGATTTACATCAGTTATGGTCTTATTGTCATAAATCTCATTCTTAATAAAAAGTATTTTATAAACGTTCCACCTTTACATTAGCTCATAATTTTATTGAAATATGTAGACGAACAATTTTAATTTTTTCATTTTTAAATACTCATTCCTTTATTTGCTTTCTAACAGTCCAATATCAAGGAGGTTGGTACAATTTTTAAAAAGTCTGCTTAATTCTTTTGCTTGTATGACCTACACTGTCACACCAAGACACCAGCTATAGCAAATAGTGATTGTCTTCTATGACACGGTAAATTTGCCTTTTGTTGGATGGCATGACCCCTTTACCTAGAGTTTTAATTTATGATATAAATAGATATTTGAGTGGTTTTGGTCAATAAGTTACTCTGTCATACTTATGAGTTCTTTCCCTCAATAAGAAATTTATAAAAAATGCTGATGTTAGTTGTCATGGAAATCTGTTGTGGAAAACTGATTAAGAAAGGGAGGAGAGATGGTTCTGTTGATAGTATAGACAATATTTGCAAATAATGAAGAGCAGGGAGGGATACGCTTGTGAAAGCATTATGTATTGTATAATTCCAACTCACATTTACAGTTTAGAGTATTTACTTAAGATTCAGGCTAATAAGAGGACACAGGAGGCAGGCATTTCCCAGAAGATATCCTAGATTATTTTTGACTGAGTATGAATGGCCAGGAATAAAAACACATCTAAGAACGTGTTTCTAAGACTGAACTGTGGAGGGAGGATTATGTTGATCTCTGTTCTTTCCCTTTTTACTTTGTGGGTATAGTGAGGTGACTGACCTCACTTCTGTTTGAGAGTGTGACCCCTTTGTGGTGACTTATGAGTGTCTTTTCACAGCTAGGTTCAAAGAGGATTTTTTTTTCCTAATGGTCATACATAGCTCGCTCACAAATGATGGTAGCCAGATGTGAATTTCTTTTAAAAAGCTTGTTTCTCCAGGTTGTATTTATTGCTTATTTGGTCTACACAGAAGTCTGCTCCTCTTTGTTCTCAAAAAGCTAATTATTTCATTTATAATAAAACATTTCCCAAAGACATCATTTGAATTAGAAAAGCTAGCAAGACAGTAAAGCTCTCCAGTCAGAGACACTAAAGTGTCTTCCTTAAATACATAAATATATAAAAGCTTGCCTTTTTTCAGTTGTTTGATTGTAGAAACTATATTCTAGCTGTTGTTATAATACCAATAATGTTACATATTCATCACCTCAGAGACCCTAATTGACTTTACATTCTCCTCTATCTACCATTCAAATGACTGTGACAGCTCATGTTGCCAGACTTTAGCCTGTGCCACTGTCTTCACCATGTCACAATGGTTTTCCTTAGTTAAAAATCTTTAGCTGACACCATGAATTTCAGAATAAAAATTTATGCTACTTAGTATGACAACTAAGATTTTTTTATCATCTAGCTACTGCTTATACCCCCCCCTTTAAAACTTCAACATCTTTCTTTTTGCCTTAAAAAAAGAAAAAACCTTTATTAGGTAATGGTCAGTTGACCAAATCTGTCACACTTGCATAGGTCAGTCAAGTTAGTATGGTCTTGGAGATTTAATATGAGGCTTCTTTTAATATTGGTTTTTTGATTTCAGAATAAGTTATGATACTTTTCCAGCATAATGAAGGCTGTATTTGTATCGAACAAGTGAACTATTAGAACGTGGCTAACTTCCTTCATTTTTTTTCTCTATTAATTTTGAATCATGGCCAACTGAAGGACACAGCAAATCTAGGTTCATGACCTTGAGGAGATGTTGCTGTGATGTCTGATTGTTCTCATTTTTCAACCTAAGCATCTTTTGACCTTTTTCAGAACCCTAAGATTATAACTAATAAATAAGCACAAGTCTAGTTAACTAAATATATTGTGATGGTTAAACAGGACCAGGGAGTACCTGAGTCTTAATATATCAGTAAAGGAACCAAGTTCTGTTGTCTTTTTGGTAGATATATGATCACACACTAAGAGAGTTGTTTCATTGTTGGGTACCACTTGTACCAAAGACAAATGGAATTGAACATATTATGTGATTTTCATCTTTCTTTCTTTCTTTCTTTCTTTCTTTCTTTCTTTCCTTCTCCTTCTCCTTCTCCTCCTCCTCTTCCTCCTCCTTCTTCTCCTTCTTCTTTGTTTTTCGAGGCAGGGTTTTTCTGTATTGCTTTGGAGCCTGTCCTGGAACTTGCTCTGTAGACCAGGTTGGCCTCAAACTCACAGAGATCTGCTTGCCTTTCCCTCCCGAGTGCTGGGGTTAAAGGTGTGAGTCACCAACATCCAGCTAACAGCCCACTTGTAAGCTGAAGTTTAAAAAATTGAATGAGAGACAAGAAAGTGTTTTTTCCTTGTCAAGAGGTTATTTGCAAAGCAAATAAAAATAAGGT